GAAGTGTATTTATTCTCCGGATTATTCTCGTACCGATACTTAAGCTCTGATGTCCAATTACTGAGGCTAGCACTATAGCATGAATTATAAAATCTGAAAGCGACGTTTCATTTATTCAGATTATGGTGATGCATTTTCCATTCTTCATTAATATTGTTATATTATTTGATTCTCATTATTTCACTCATTCACGCACACTAATGATATGATTTTTATCATGATTTTATCACAGAATTCGACATAGCATTACTTTCAATATTATCTTCTCCAAACGAGCTGTAACGAAAGACGTTCACACCGGTTTTATTTGCTATTAACGGATATTCTGCATCGGCAACTGCCAGAAATTTTGCTAATGTTTTTAGGTCCTTATTCCATATCTGGACAAATGATAATATGATAAGTAACCGCAGATATCAATGCTAGTATTAAGTAAATCGATAGCTATTACAATAAGAAAAAAAGTGAAAAGATTGATTGTTTGAACAATTTTTCGATACATTTTATCCCCATATATTTGCATAAATGTATTCAGATTTCGTGGAATATTTGCTGAATTAAGGCAAATTCTCAAATTCTTTGCTAAGAAAATTACATTAATTTTTTTTTCTAAGAAATCATAAAATTGCAAAATTTTGTGATAATTGGAAAGATAAGCCCATATTTCTGATCAGATCCTATTTTTCATAGATTTTTATAGCTTTCAAAACAGTTTTTGTTTCATCTTTTTTCATAACTTTAAATACATGCAATTTAATATTGGATATAACTTATAATTTTGTGCTGTGATAAGATAACTATCCAGTTATATAATCATTTTGCTATGTTATTTTAAACTTTATTGCTTTATTGAGAGCTTTAAGTTTTGATCAATAACATAATTATTATTCTCATTAAAATTTGTTACATATGACATTAGCGAGATTTTTGTAAACAACCATGTGGAATAAAAGCGGAAAATTGCAAAATTTTTTTTCCCAAACAAAATGGAAGATATGAGGTCTGTTGGCCGTAGAAAGAAGCAAAGGTCAGGTTGGGAAGCAACTTTGGCTTATGCTTTGGTCGACTAAAAACACTAATCAAACGACTGCAGGCGGACGAACGATTGCTATACCAATACGATAAAACCATCCGGGATCAATTACATTCAGAAATAATAGAGGAAGTTTACCCGGACATGGATCGAACAGGTATGATTTATTATTTGCCTCACCACGAAGTTATAGCTCCACAGAAATCTATAACAAAACTCAGGATTGTGCATGCATCCGCTCACCTTAAAGGTACAAAGAGTTTGAATGAAGTTCTCTGATCATGCTTCCAGATTTAGTAGGAATATTATTACGCTTCCGAAT